ATCAGCCACGGCTCCTCCTGCTCACATCTCTGTGTCACTTCATCTGATCACATCCACCCAACGGGATCTGTCTTCCACAGCTTCCCCACGATGATCCACACACACTCCTGAGTCACCACAGGGCTGCCTCTGAAACACCTGCTGGGTTCAGGCTGTTCCACAGAAGAATCTCAGTTCCAAACACAATTCCTGTCACTCCAAGCTCTGTACTTAAATATTGTGGTGCATCCAGTTCTGCTGCCCCCAACATTAGAAAGATGTGAAACGGTTGGAATGAGTCCAGAGGAGGCCAGGAAGCTGTTGAGGGAACTGGAGCACCTCCACTACAGAGCCAGGCTGGGAGTGCTAGGAATGCTCAGCCTAGAGAAGGCTCTGGGGAGAACTTAGACACCCTTCCAGCGCCTGAAGGGACTCCAGAAGAGCTGGAAAGGGACTTGGGACAAGGGCCTGGCAGGACAGGATAAGAGGGAATGGCTTCCCATTGCCAGAGGGCAGGGTTAGGTGGGATATTGGGAAGAAATTCTTCTCTGTGAAGATGGGGAGGCCCTGGCACAGGGTGTCCAGAGCAGCTGTGGCTGCTCCATCCTTGGAAGTGTCCAAGGCCAGGCTGGACAGGGCTTGGAGCAACCTGGGCAAGGGAAGTGTCCCTGCCCATGGCAAGGGGTGGCCTGGATGGGCTTGAAGGTCCTTTCCAAACCAGTCTGAGATCCTGTGATTCAACATCCACTTGCAGCAGCCACTAGTGGGGTTCACCAGGCCTTAGGAGTGGGGCTGGTCCTGTTTAGTCTCTTTACCCATGATCTGAATAAGGGGATCAAGGGCACCCCTTTTGGTTCCCAGACAACACCAAGTTGAGTGTTGGTCTCCTGGAGGGCAGGAAGGTTCTGCAGAGGGATCTGGACAGGCTGGATCCATGGGCCGAGGCCAACAGTGTGAGGGTCAATAAGGCCAAGTGCTGGGTCCTGCCCTTGGGTCACAACATCCCCATGGAACACTCCAGGCCAGGGGCACAGTGGCTGGAAAGCTGCAAAAGGACCTGGGGGTGCTGCTGACAGCGGCTGGACACGAGCCCAGGTGTGCCCAGGTG